ATGCTCAGCAAACAACATCTGCTTCACATTTGAGTCCTGTCCAGACTTTGGCAACCTTCGTCCCTGTGTGCGTGAGGGTGACTCCATCCATTCCTCATCCTCCTCATCTCTTCAACTCACTCTTCTTTCACGCGCCTCCTGCAAGTGTCATGAGTCATCCTCAAGATAGCAAAGTTCAAGTGTATATTACTTATAACGGGGTGTGAAAATCTAGTGCAACATGTCTTGGTGAGCATGAAAGCCATCAAGTTTAATTTGTAGTTGTAATTTATGAAAAAAGTTTTAAGCCAGTACAGGATAGAACCTTCAGGTAAAATTAAGTACAGATGTGACTGATACTTGGCAGCTTGTGCATGACCTTGGGTGTTGTTGAAGCAGATAAGCAGATAATTACATGTGTTAGTGGTGGCAATGTTATGCTGTAAAAGCCATCCTTGTGACTAAACTGACCCGTTCCTAAATGTAAGACTTAAAGTGCCGCAGATTAGGTTGAATATTACCTGAAATATACCACTTGGTGAACACTTTAGTTCAAGATGCTGGCACACACATGTAGATTTTTCTCTGTATAGTGGTGAGGGCCCCTACACACTAGTCGCATGCGGAACTGGAGTAGAGAAGCAAGCTTGTATGATAATGAGGATATGAATATTATTTTATTTTAATATTTTCATAGATAACCTGATTTGTACATTGATAAAAATGTAGAGAATTAATGTTATAATCAATATTGATGATGCATTCAAGGGTATGTTATGGATATTTTGTTCAATTATTCATACTAATATAGCATTACTACTATGAAGAATTGAAGTCATACAGGTAATCACACAGGTAACTTAAAATAAAGTGTAAAGAGAGTACAGGTGACTTCTCTGGCTCTAATGTTGTGGTTTGCAAATATCCTCACTTGTTACTTAATGTTCTACCAGTTTATTGGGAGGGGCCCCATGTGTTACATGTAAATACCTAGAATATATTTGAATCACTTTAAATTATTAAACTTCATTGGACTTACCTTATAGACTCAGGCAGCAAGCAGTACATATAATGCTGATGTTGTATATAGATACCTAGATTACTAATTTTAACAGTATGGTAATCCACTAAGATGACTTAGTTGACAAGACATGACTGACTGGAGGTGGGAATAAGACAAATGATTAGCCATAAAAGAAAGAAAAAAAAATAAAATCATGAGTTTACAGAGCACTAAGATTTGTCATACCAATACCATATCAAGAGAGCTTTGGCTTTATATTTTGATCTCACAGAGTCAGTGAAGGAAGGAAAAGTGGGTTAAGGCATACATGCTCAAGTGTATTGCTGTACAGGTACTATCAGGAAGTGTATTGCTAACTGATTCTGGAGTTTTAAGATATACACATGCAAGCACTCTTACTTTTCTCTTGACCTTGATAATATATATATTTTTGATGAAAAACAGTTACATTGGATATGATTTAATTAGATATATGCTATACTCTCATAAAAACAAGGTTTAAATACACTTTCTTCTGTGATTATTGAAAGTATTTGGTTAACATTTTTTTGTGAATCTGACTTGAAAAAAACTCAAATTCTTTACTTATGAATATAAAAACATTTGAAATTTGAATATACTAAAGGATATTTCTGTGATGGAAGGCGTATTAAATAGAATATGATATAATCTTATGTGCACGTATAAAACGATTTTACTGAACTACAGGCATTGGGTCTACCACTTCCAAGGTATAAATTAAGGCCTGAAAAGGATGCTTGTAATTCTTGATAGCAAATACTATTCAGTATTTTTATTATTATTGTATAAATCTAAGTTGTCAGTGACTGGCTAGAGTACTTACACAAGCCTTAAACTTAAAAGACCGCAAAAGTCAAAGACAAAAGGCTAGGAGACAGATGACTATTTCTTTACTTTGCTAAGCATTTACCGTAGTCAGTTTCTCTAGTGTAACGTTTTAGTGTTTGTGCGTATAACACGGGGATTGGTTACCATATTGTAATTTTAAGTTTGCAACAGCATTCTTCTTTTCTTTTTTTTTCCTTTTTTTATTTATTTTCCCTTTAACTTGGACAAAATTGTAAGAAAGTGGTTAAGTATATTTGTATATATTTGTTAATTATGCAAGAATAACAGAATAACACTGTTTGCTTTTCTTAATAGGTGAAATAATTTGGCTGTGAGCTTCGGAATATTATTTCTTGGAGTGATATTTCAGATTTTTGGAATTGGTAAAGCTGCACTTATATCATTGTATGTGAATTCCTGATTTTTGATTTTTATTTTCTTTGTGATTGAGCCTATGACTGTATCATGTATATCAAGTTCAACGTATTGACTACTGGAGGTATCATTGCTTTAAGTTGTTGGATGTCGCAGAATAAGACATTTATGCTCTCATGATGCTGTTTGATCCTTGTTTTGACTGCCGTGTGATTGATTTGTTCAGTCGGTACTTTCCTTTGATTTCTGTTATTTGTTATCTCATATTTAAAAGAGAGGATAATGTGGAAGCAATCAAATCTGGATCAAAGCATATTTTGATAACCAATTTGTATGTCTCTTAACCAAAAGGGGGTTAGGAGTTCACCCTTTCCTTTTATTATAAGTAGAAAGACATTGTGAAGGTATTCTGTACTTACACATAAATCTAATGCAAGGAAATATTCAAAATGAAAAGGCTTTTTATGTTAACTCATTACTCATTTTTCACATTCTTCTTTTCCTTTTATCCTATTCCATCTTACCATTTGTAATTTGCAGACTATAGAGGCTATGCTTTCAAAGATCTTTGGACATTGGCATTAAAGGTTAATAGTGAGGCTTTATTTTAGATTTAAGTATAGAAGGTGCCGAGTGAAGTTGAGCTGACATTATAGCTGTTCAGAAAAGACGCTATGGTAAAGATGAAGAGGCTCTTTGATTTCATCTTTGCTTTCTTGTGAGGACAAGTTGTGATTTCTTGATTTGGGTTATATGGGAGAGCATTGCAAGTCCCTTTGAAAAGATTGAAAAACAAAATAGTTAAAACTGAAAATAATATATGGATATGTATTGGAAAAGGTTTTCTTTTTGTTTGATTTAAAAAGTAAACATACATTTTTGATGGAAACGAGAAACAGATAATTGGACGTTTTGTATACTTTACAGATAAAGATATAAAGTAAAGGGAATTGTTAATGTTACTCTTGGAACAGCAGCTCTAAGCTTGGCAGTGACTTGAGAGTGTGTGCATGTGTATCTGTATGTTCTATGTATGTGTATGGCACAATTCTAAGATGGCTTACCAATGACATGCCTTTACACTTTGATTGTTAATAGGTAAAACCATTCAATTACCCTCTTCTTAAATTTAAAGATATTTGGTATGTTATCTGTAATGTGTAATTTTAAATTCCACAAAAGTTTGTAAGAAGCAGAAGAAAAATGTACTTAAAAGGGGTAAGATAATTCCATTACGGTGTTCTGTGTTAATACACTTAGGGACTTACTTTGGAATGTGGTTATGATTTGGTGTTTGTCGTCCCATATTCGTTAAAAAGTTTGTGCTTTAACACTTTTGTGAATTTACTGGAATCAAAAGGTGTTCTGTTAAGTTTCCCCCGTAAAGAAACGCATTCATTTGACACATTAAGATCAAATTCATGAGATCATTACCTGCAGATTCGTAAGTTAGAAAGAGCATAGGTACTGCCATACCAATTTTGCCAGTGAACAGCTTAACAAGGTTTTTGAACAATGAGAGCAACCAGTTTGATTTCATATTCATAAATAAACATATATATATATATATATATATATATATATATATATATATATATATATATATATATATTTTGTGTATATTTTTATGTGAATATGTATTTTTTTCCTTTTCTTCTTCACTTTAGACCTCTCAGATTTGGAAATGGGTACAAAGTTTTATGGTTTATATTTCGGAATTATGTATAATATGAGAAGGAAATCACATGTAACTTATCTAGTTGACTTTGATTGATGGATCATATATATATATATTATATTATATATATTATATATATATATATATTATATATATATTATATAATATATATATATATATTGCTTCAAAATTGTTAAAGTAGAGATTGTCTTTACTGAAACCAATATAAGAAAGCACAATTGCTACTTGACATGTACAAGAAAGGCTTCTTATGTTGCCTTATGACTATGATATCATTTTATTAGAAAAGAAGAAATATTTTTGTCAAACTGCATACTCCCTGTGGAACTCTAGCTAAAACCTTGTGTGTTCAGGCAACTTTGAGACTTAGCAACTAACATGCCCTCTATATACCATATCTTTCATATCATACCATCCTCCATGAAGCTCTGATACCCCATGTTATAACATTTTTTCCTTTTTTTTTTTCCTTATGAATGGCTTGATTTTTTTTCTCATTATATTTTATTCAGTAGCCTTTCCTTTAGTCTCATTATGGGTACTGAATTTGTTTTTTTGAGCCGAGACCCCTCACAATCCCCCCTTGACTTCAAATATGTTTCATAAACATATTTTAGCCCTCCAGTGAATATTAGTATTTAGTGATTACGTTGAATATTTGACATTAAAAAGAAAAAAAAAATCTTGGGCTCAGTTTGTCCTGCACTGTTACGGTTAACACTCATATTAAACTTCTTACTGGTTAACAAAACCGGTAAATAAAATGTTACATGACAATTTACTCTTTTCTTGTTTATCCTTCTGTATACAATGTAGAGGCAAAGGTTATTTTCTGCATTTTATTAAGTCTACAGCAGGTATGACAAATATCTAGTATGTAGACCTGAAAGTATAAAAACAATATTGTACAGAGTTCAATTTTTTGAGAGTAAGATTGTAGCCATCTTTTGGCTATCGTGAAGGTAATATTCCACTCAGAGACCAGAAATACATATCAGAGTTTTGTTATAAAATGATGCAAGCATTAACGCATTCAGACTCAGGTTTGCTGATCTGCAGTGCAGCCAGATTATA